TGAAGAAGGGTCTAGGCCCGAAACGTTAGCCTTCCTGCTCCTCTGATGCTGCTTGGCCTGCCATGTTCATCCAGCTCTACACCTTGTTATATTAATAACCATGTTACTTCTCTGAAATTCGATCATCAACATGCAAGTTTTTTTTTAATCTTGTTACTGTTTTTGTTATTGTGCTAAGGAAATGAACAATTACTAATTTATAAGATATATTAATCAGATTTAATTTCAGAGTCATCCCAATGTGCTATTCCTATTTTACAAAGATTGCCTCTTTGAAATACCTGGGAATTAAAAGGAAAAACTTTTTTTTAGGGAACTGGAAATAAAAGTAATGATTGCTGCAATTGTGAACCAACTTGGTCAACATCTAAAAGGAGAAATGCTGGTTAACAATATTGAGTGAAAATATTGATAAGAATCCAGAACATCTTTCTTTTTAAAATGCTGATTGACTTGTGAATTTCTAGCACTTTCCTTTCCGATTTTTGGGATAGAAACATAAATTTTGTGAAGCAAGGCAGCCCGCAAGAGTCTTCACCCAACAGAAGTCGGAGAACTGGGGTCCAAAGGTCAGCATGTGCAATTCACTCCACTCCCCATCTTCCTGTTAACAATTTTAACATGGTTGTCACCTTCGCCAGAGATTCTCTGACACACACTTCTGTTGAATGAAAATCAATGCCAGAATTGAAGCCTCAGAAAACTTGCTAGTAGCAAAGTTAGTGCAAATTCAATACAGCTCATAACATGTTTCATGCGTATTTCTGATAAATCCTAAATTAATGCTTTCTTAACATGATCCTAAAGTTGCTCATGTTTTTAAATAAAAGCTACCCCATGGCTTTTAACTGATGTAATAATTTAGATCTGCATCTGTCTTACCATTTTGTTTAGATCTTTCCTAAATAAATCTACAGAGGGGTGCGGTCAGACTCTCTTGTCTGTAGGTAATAAGAAACAAAATGCAGTATGGTGTTTCTCTTGAGAATATTTTGTCTCTTCCCAAACCATCAGTTCTGATCTTCCACTGACCTTCTCCTCAGGGTCCAGTTTTCCCAGGAATCCCTTCTGTACTGATAAGGGGATTCCTGGAAATACTGTTCTTGGGGGCAAGGCTTGGCAGCTGTTTCATAAGAAGATGAACGAACCTGGGAATTCCTAGAAGTTTCTGGATTACTGTGGGAAAATGAACACTTTTGAGTTACGTATAAGTGAACATAATCAGAGCATGTATCCTTAATTTGACACAAATAAAAGACAAATATGAATTACAGAACTCAGAATGTGTTTGTAGTTACTTTGTATAAAATGAAGAACACAAGATGCTGACTTCATCTTTACCTGAACAAGTAAGACTTTCCTCTAACTGAAACATTAAATTTAAAATTCAATTCACTTTGCAAGTCAGTGAATATA